TACAAAACTAAAATAAAATTCAACTGTAATCTCATGACCTAGAAAGAACCACAGTTAACACATATATTTTGTGATGCACATATACGTGTGTGTGTGTGAAGGGGTATATGCATGGGTTTTTAAACAACAACAAAAAAGAAATTATACTACATATACTATTTTCTTGTCTTTTTTCTCTTAATAATATGTCATGAGCCTCTAACAGGCTGTGTGACCTTGGTTAAGTTAACTAAACTCTCTGTGCCTCAATTTCCTCATTTGTAAAATGGGGATGCTGTGAGGATTAAAGAAACTATGTGCAGAGCTCAGACCTGGGCTTAGTGACTAGTGTTCCCTCATGAGTGTTAATTATAATTACTTTTACTATAGTATTGTTTGTCATTAGTATTATTTGTGCATAGAATTCCATTGTACAGACCAATAGAATTGGTTCCTAACAAGTAGTATGCAATGTCCGGAGACATTTTTGGTTGTCACGGTGGGGTGGGAGGTACTATTGGCCTTTGGTGGGTGGAGGCCAGGGATGCTGCTAAAAACCCTGCAGTGTACAACTGTGTCCCACAACAAGTCAGTCGTGCCGAGCTTGAGAACCCCTAGTCCAGATGGTCTCTGGTTTGCTTACCCAGCTCCCTGTTGTTGGACGTGTACTTTGGACTGACCCTTCTTATCTTATCCCCTACTACGGAGCATAAACATGCCAGGGGAGGGAGGGATGGCCCTGTGTGCCTTGGGGAGAGTGTTATGCTGCTTGAGAAGGGCTGGGGAGTGGCCGTGCCCGTATCCACCTGGGACAGTGGACGGGAAAGGAAGTCTGAGATATGTGACCCTCAAGACCCCATGCACCTCCTGTGACCTTACTAACTATGATGTAAAGCACAGAGCTGGGTCATGTCATGGTCGACAGACTGCATAGTTAACGACCCTGATGCCACCAAGGGACAGGACTCTAGAGATGTCTGGCTCAGATAAGGAAGGGAAATAAAGGGCCGTTGTATGTTATGACTCTGGGCAACCCATGGTGGGAGGGCAATGTCTTCCTTTGTCTTGTCTCCAGACTAGAAACTAAAACTTATACACTTATAATTGAATACCCCAAACCAACATTAAAAAGTGCTTTCTTTGCTGTTGTATGAGCCTATAAATCTCACGAAGAGTGTAAAGGTCTCCCCAGGCCCCTGAGGTTTGACGGGCTAGGGCAGAGATGCCCCCGAATGCTGGCCTTTGGCGACTGCACTGCCAAGGCCCCTCCTCTGGTCTGGCTGCTCCCCGAGTCCCTCCTGAAGAACCCCAGCCTTGCCTGCTGGGTGTGTTTCTACAACACACAGGATGGCTGGCTCCTCCACTCACCTGCTGCCCTCAGGGACCCTCCTGGTCTTTATCTTCTCAGCCTTCTGGGCACCGGGCACAGTGCCGGGCTCTGGGACTAAATGAGCAACACACACACAGCCCAGCCTGCACAGGACAGACCATGAACGCGGGAACAAGTCAATAAGCAGGTTAGGCTTCCGGTGTCCAAAAGGTGACAGGGGCGACGGAACTCAACTGAAACGGCAGGCCAGAGCATCAGGCATCTTCTCCGAGGGGAAAGCATCTGGGCTGCAGCTGGATGATGGGAAGGGTCAGCATGTGAAGATCAGGAGGAAGACTTTTCTAGCAGAAGATGCAGCAGCGCAAAGACCCCACGGAGAGAATGCGTGTGCTCCCGGGAGGAACAGACACGCATCAAAGCCTTCGGCATTGCTCTGTGGTCCCCTCCTCGCTGCATTTCACCAACCTACCTTTTCTTAAGAAGCGAGGTTATCTGGTGGTTAAGGACCAGAGCCCTGGTGGTCAACTGCCTGGGCTCCAATCCTAGACACTGGGATTTCCTGGTGCCCACGGGGTTGGCAGAATCACCTACGCTCTCTTTTCTCACGAATGGAGCTGCTAATAGCTTCTCTCTTTAAGATCTTCTTAATAGCGCTTGGCACAAAGCAAGTGCCCAATAAATGTTGCTATTATTTTATGGGCCATTGGGAAGCTTGCTGGAGTCCATCCATAGCACATTGAGAGGAAATTTATTTCCTCACAGCTTCCCTCCACGGAACTCAGGAGGAGAAAGTCATTTGGCATCGCTCTGCCACTGCATTGTGGGGGGCTGCCCTGTCTGCCATTGTTGGGGTTTGTGTTTTAAGAGGTGTGGCTGGGATCCAGGCAAGACCCAGGGAGCGCGCCCTCCCCAGGTGCCAGCCAGCCCTCCCTGCGTGGGCAGGAGGCGGGGACCCTTCTCTGTTGGGGTCCTCCTCTGGCTGAGGATGAAGGAATGAATCATAAGGAGGCGGGGCTGAAGCCTCGTAAGGCCCGACACAGTGATGTTGCTTTTAGTTCTTCTAGTGCCACAATTCTCACACAGGTGAGAAGATCTAGGAGTCAAGTAAGGGACATGGGTGACAGAGGAAGGAAGCCCCCTCCCTTGTGCTCTCCTGCGGTGGCTGTGACAGAGTGTAGAGACCCCACTCAGAGGCTCTGGTTCCTCCCTTCCCCCCAGACCCAGTGTGCATCCCTTCCAGCTCCTGGAGTCAGCCGTTCCCTGGCCTCAGAACTGGCCAGGTCGCCCTGTTTCTGGACAGGAAGCCCCTCTTGGTCTCCAGCCTTTCCTTTCCTCCCTCCCCTGTCCCTTCCTGCCTCCCCTCTGCCTTGCCTCCCCTCAGCCTCCCCAAAGGCCCAGGATTCCCCGCCTCGCTTTCACAATGGGGCCAGGGCTCTATTACCGCGACATCCCCCAGATCCATGACGGCAATGCCGAGGGGATCATCAGGTGCTCCAGGCACAAGCCCTGGCGCAAAGGCGCATCTGATCCGGAAGCCACTTTCTGGAGAAGAAAATGCAAGTGTCACCAGCAATTTTCCTCCTTTAAAAGAAGGTGGTAGATGTGACTCAGGGGCTTCGTGCCACCTGGCAGTTTGCAGCTTCCTTAGCTGGGGTGAGGGGAAGCCCAAAGGGGTGCAGTCAGCTCCTCCAGGCGGAGGTATTGCCAGGGAATTAATTGAGGACAGTTTGAGCCCTGGGGTAGAACTCCTGCCTGGGGCGGTAATGAGCACTGACTGCATGCGTAGCCTGACTCTGGATGGTCACACTTTGCCCATCCATTCCATGGGCTCACACTGGACACCCTCCTGTCACATCACCGTGGGGACATGCCCCACCAACCTATGGGGCACGACACACCTGTGGACTCACGCATCTAGCAAATAACCTACCCGCTTGCACAGGCTCGCCACTCATCTCTACTCACCTCTACATCCAACAGCTACACACAAAACACACTCACAAAGATAACAGTATTCCCCACTGGCTGACCCCCTACAGCTGACAGAGCTTTTGACAGAAAAACAGCTCCCAAAGGCAACTCACACCTCCCACCAGTTTCACTTCCACCCACCACATGAACACACAGCAGATCCCCAGATGCAAAGATAACCCCCCGCCCTGCCCCCCACCGCATGCGCACTGCATGTGCTGTGGGACCCGGACCTGCCCCGCATGGATATGACGGATGACTCTCACAGAAGCACGGGCGGGCAGCTCGGGCCTGCCCCAGGCCTCACCTTTGTGCTGCCCGCTATCAGGCCACTTTCCACTCGCCTGCACAAGGGCCCCTTCTTGTCTTCCCCTGGGTGAGCACCACCAGGCCACCATCTTGCCTGACTCTCAGTTCAGAGTCACCTTGGCAAGGAAGGCTCTTGCTTCGCAAGTGTCAGAAACCCATAAGACACAGGCTTAGGGAAAAGGGGGCTGTTGGCTTATGTGCACTGAGGAGCCCAAAAGGTCTACCAAGCTGGACTCTCACAAGATGTGATTGGGACCCTTCCTCTTCCTGTCTCTTACACACACACTGACATTTCTGGTCCTTTCCGTGAGAACTCCATTCTTAGATTCTCTCAGTGGTGACTGGGATGGTGGCACCCACCCAGCTCCAGGTTCCAACCTACAACTGAAGAAAGGCTACATAGAGAGAGGTCCTCTTTCCCCACAGCTCCAGCCAAAGTCCCAGGTTGGTTCTGATTTTCCAGGACTAGCTTTCTTGCTCCCTTCGGGACCTGGGCAGTACAGAAGCCTCAGTGAAGCACAGAGAGCTGGAGTAGGGGCGGGGCATGATTCTCCCAAACAAGATAAGATCACTTTTACCGGGAGAAGGGGGAGATGGACCCAGGATAGGCAAAAACAATGTCCGCAAAAACAGTGCTTTTCAAACTTCAGTGAGCACACACATCTCTTGGGGATCTTGTTAAAATGCAGATTCTGGTCCAGGAGGTCTGGGGGCGGGTGGACCTGAGACTCTGTATGTCTGACATACAGGGGAGGCTGCAGCTGCCCCACTGGGACCCACACTTTGAGTGGCAAGGGCCCCAGTGAACCTAACATGCAACGGGTGAGGGGAACCACAGTGCTGTTAGGCCTGGGGCCCACCTTTGTCCTTCCTACATCTCAAAGCCCAGCTGTGCCTCTTACATTACTATTCGCCCTCTCCCAGTGAGGTGGGTGGGTGAGGTGGGTTTCTTTCTTGTTCCTATTTTGCCAGTGAAGAAACTGAGGCCCAAATAAGTTCTGTGACTTTCCCCAGCCACACCTGTGGCCGTGGAGCTGGTCCCCAGACACTTGTCTGCTCTGAAGACTGCAGAGCTCTCCTCGGCCAACCCCTCTTATGGGGACAGAGGAGGTAAGTGTGGCAGGCAGAGCCCTCGCTAGAACCCCTCCCACTCTCAGAAAGGTGTTGAAGGGCTGCCAGAACAAAGGAGGAAAAGTGACCTACCGTGTTATGGTCATATTTCCCCAGGACAGGAAATTCCCAGGCCACTGAGCAGATGCCTTGTCAGCTGATGAAGTTTTTACAGCCGGCACAGACCCGGGTGACCTCCCGGTTGTGCTGATGGTAAATCAACATTGCAAAGGGCAAGGTTGTCTGGGCTGCCCCCCCGGGTTATTTCTAACCTTTTCTCCCTTATCAGTTTCTCCTTCCAGTTGATATAATCAGATGCAGTCTCAACGAAGGTGGGGCCAGTCCCACCTGGGCCCCAGAAAGAGAAATGTGGATGGCCGTGGCCCCTAATGCCACCTTACGGAGGTACACCAGACATTCGCACATCATTTGAAGGAGGAATGCTTAGTGGATCTAGGGGCTGGCACCAGCAGAACATCAATAGGACAATCCAGGTACTATGCAATGGGCTCCGGGAGGGGAACAGTGTTCCCCATGTGCCCCGTTGAACTGTGTGCCCCCAAAATTCATAGATTGAAGTTCCAACCCCCAGTTCCTCAGAATGTGGCTTTATTTGGAAATAGGGTCTTTGCAAATGCCATCATATTGGAGTAGGATGTGCCCTAAATGCAACATGCTGTGTCCTTGTGAAGAGGACTATTTGGACACAGGCTCACGTACAGGGAGGGCACCGTGAGAAGGTGGAGGCAGAGGCCGAAGATCACAGAGACGGCCAGCAAGCCCAGCGACTGGGCGAGAGGTCGGGACAGAGTCTCCCTTCCCTTCTCAGAAGGAACCAGTCCTGCCAGTACCTTGATCTCAAACTTCTAGCCCCCAGAACTGTGAGACAATTAATTTCTGTCCTTTAAGCCACCAAATTCACAGCATTTTGTTATGGCCACCCCAGGACACAAATACACTGTCACTGGAAGAGCTCATGCCGAGGTTGACAGCCACACGGTAGGATGTGGAAGCACAATACAAGCTACCCATGCAATTAAAATTTTTTCTACTAGCCACATTAAAAAAAGATGAAATTAATTTTAATACTATATTTTAGTTCACGCAGCGTATCTGAAATATCATAAGTACTAAAAAGAGTTATTGAGATCCTTTGTATTTTTCTGTTCATCTCATTCTAAGTCTTTAAAATCTAGCATATTCTTTTCCACTCACAGCTCAGTTGGGATTAGCCGCATTTCAAGGGCTCAGGAGCCACACACAGGTTGTGGCCACCACATCCGACACGTAGGTTCAGGTCCTTCTCCCCTCTGTATCCATGTGGCTTCGGGCAATTTCCTGAGCCGATTAGAGCCTCAGTCTCTTCACCTGTCAAATGGGACAATAATGCTACCATCACCACAGAGCTGGAATAAGGGTTAAGCTAAGAGGGACGCGGCTGTGCTTGTCGGGTCCCGACTTGGGGTAAAACTCTAACTGAGCACTGTTCCTGTGGTTGGGGCCGTGGGCATCAGACCGGAGGTTTAAGGCCATCCCACTTTAACAGATCATACAATCACCGCATTTCTCACTGGGCTCATGCTGAACGCTTGCCTCACACTCAGACCCACCTCCAGGCTCCCCACTGGAACCTACCTGAGTCTACCTCCTCCAGGACGTCTGCCTCAGAGTCCCAACTCCCATTTTAAATTCCCAGAGCACCAAGGGAGAGTCCCACAACTTGATACTTAGTTGTTGCGTTAATTGTGTTATTACACGTGAGTGAGGTCTGAAGTCCCCTGAGGGCTGGGACACGCCTCCTCTGGACTCTGAGTTCTAGGTCCGTTTAATCACTGGAGCTGGGCAACAAACTTTATCGAGTGCACACCTACTCCACCTCAGCCGGACTTAGAGCAGGTGTCAATGACCCCAAGCAGATCGATTTACCCAGGCACAGCTCTCAGAAGCCCCCAAAGAGGTGGTCTCCAGGCACAAAGATCCATGGCCCAGGCTAGGATAGCCATACCTGTGGCCAGCCCAGGGGACGGGAGGTCCTAGAACCTCTTTGGAAAAAGAGGTCAGAAAAGCCAGCAGAGACACTCTGCAACATGCTTCACCCCGGACAGGGAAAGGTTTCCTGACACGGGAGGTCCTGGCCACCCAGGATGAGACTCAGGGCTGCCCTTTGAGCCACCCTACCCTCCTCACTTTCCTCTTGCCCAGGTGGCACTTCGTGGCTTGTTTACTCCAAGTCACTCCCTGATAGAGGCCCCACTGGCTGGGAAGGGTAAATGAATCACCAGCACCTCAGCGAGAGGCCGCTGTGGGCGAGACTCACAATCACACCAGCCTAGCGGGGCCCCTCCTAACGCACTGCCCTCCACACCCCCAAACACAGAGGCTGGCCGAGAGTGCGCACAAGGGCTGACCTGGTGCCGGAGGGGCTGGCTGGAACACCAGTCCTGTGGGCGCACCAGGCCCTGCCCACTTCAGCTTCCGTGAACAGCACCTGTCTCTTCCCAGTCAGTGCTCCATACAGAGCACAGAGAGGGCCGGTATCCCCCAGGCCAGCCCTATGGATCCAACCCACCCCAGTTTTCCTGCACCTCCTCTCTTATTCCATGGAGGCAAAAGACTGGTTTGAATCAGACGACGCCTCCCGCTAGCTGTGCGGCCGTAGCCAAGTCCTTTAACCTGTCTGAGCTCCAGATTCCTCAACTGTAAGATGAAGATAGCAAGAATATCGACCCCAGCCTGTTGTTCCGAGGTTTAAATGAGGCGATTTGCATCAAGTGCTGGGTGTAACGAGTGGCACGGGCACGTGCACTTCTTTTACGATGTCAGTGACGGCTATCGGTGCTTGCGTAGCACAGCGGGAAGCTTATTCTGCCACCAATGCAAAGCTAGGAAACGTGAGGTCAATTTCACCTGCTATTTTGGGGATATTGCAGTCTATGACTTTCTGTGGAGGAATTCGTATTGATAAAAGGCAACTCATTCATTCCACAAATATGCACTGAGCACCTGCTGAGGTGACGTGTTCTTGGCGGCCCGAGAGCAGACCTGGAGGATGTGGATGAGAGGCACTCCTGGCAGCCGCCCAGACCCACATCGCGCCTTCCCTTCCTGCTCCGCCGAGGTGATGCAGGCTCCTCGTCTGTGTCCCTGTCTAGTGGGCCTGGCGTGGTCCGGGGGTGACGCCCAAGGAATTGAGCCTGGAGGGGCCTATACCCAGGGACTCGGACTAACTTTGGGGTTTGGGTCCCAGTGTCGTATCTTCTAACTCTGCAGCCTTAGGAAAGTTAGTCTTACCGAGCCTCAGTTTCTCCTCCGTTACAGGGACATAGTGATACCTAGCCTGTGAGCTCACGGGGTTGCTGTCAGCACATGTGTGTGGAAGCCTCTTAATAACCACTTTTTTCCTGCCTGCCTGCCTTCACTCATTCCTTCCCCCTCCACTCCCATCTGTCTACTCAGCCACCCAACATTTTTTTCTTACCTCTGTTTTTTCAGTCTCTGTGGAAGGAGCTAGGAGTGGAGGGGAACCCAGGCAGACCCAAAGAAGTGCTGACCACCAGGGTTCTCAGCCCTTCTTCCACTCTCTGGCTGTCAGTATGGGGCCAGGAGACAGTCCGGCCCAGGGGACTGGTGGCCAAACCAAATCTGGGCGAGGAGCAACCCACGCCCAGGGCAGATGGGCAAAGTGGGCCTCCCCCCCTTCTTGGGCCCCAGCCAGCCCTCCCAACTGGACTCTTAACCCTGTTTTCCAGTTCCTGGGCAGGAAACGAGCTCTAAAAGGAAAGGGCTGAGTGGACTCCAGACAACATACCCACGCTTAAGGCAGGAAGTAGGAAGAAGAGGGGGTCCCAGCCATAGCTGTCCCCTTCTCTCAGAAAAGCAGTGCTCTCATACAGATCTCCCCCGCAGACTTCAGACTAGTTCTCCTTGGAAAGAACTGAGACATGTGGCTACTCCTGGCTGCGAGAAGGGCTGGGGAGAAAGGGAGGAGGATTATCACAGTTACCTTCGACTAAGGGTTGGCAAACTTCTGTAAAGGGCAAGAGAGAAAATACTGTAAGACTTTGTGGGCCATTCAGTCTCTGTTGTAACCACTCAGCTCCGCCTTTGCAGCAAGAAAGGGCTCTAGACAATCCCTTAACAAATGGGTGTGGCTGTGCACCAGTAGAACTTTATTCATGGACACAAACTTGAATTTCAAGTCATTTTCATGTGTCATAAAATATTATTTTTCTTTTTATTTTTTGCAACCACTTTTTAAAAATGTTAAAAATCATTCTTGCTCGTGGGCCATCCAGTGCGCCCATCCTTGGTGCGGAGCAGTCGTAACCCACTCCCTGAGGCTGGGCACACTGTCACCACAAGGGAAAAAAGGTGTGTGGTGTGTGTGGTTTGTGACTGGTATGTGGTGTGTGTGTGTGTGTGTGTGTGTATGTTGTGTTTACTAGCGGGTACTCAGGGGGAACGGGGGTGTGGCTTATTACTTGAGTGACTCAAGTGTTCAGCACAGGAGGCCGTTTTGTCAGGGCACAGGAAGAATAGCAGGAGTTGAGCCCAAACCCTCTTGACTGGAGAGCCCACCCTCTCGGCCTCCATGCTGATGTTCTTTGCTCGGCTTTCAAGGGGAGGGCGGTGGGGAGGCATGTGATCAGGTGTCGTTACCACCGCAGGGACACAGGCATTCCAGCAGCCTCTTCTCCCCGAGGGCAGATCCCAGCAGGGGGGCACTGGGAGGAAGGAGGACCTCCCACCTCCCTCCCTCTCCCAGTGAGTTCAGTCCCTGGGGTGGAGGGCGAGGTGGGGGCTTCCCTCCAGCCCTGGAGCAGGATTTCCTTTTCCCTTGACTTGGATAGACCGGAAATTGGGTCTCGTTCTCATGATGGAAGAATTCCTCCCCGTGACTCCTCTCTTCCTCCCGTTCTTCCCTTCCTGCAGCCCCAACACGAAGGAGATTCAGAGGGAGCCTGGCAGAATACGAAAACCCAGAGACGTCGTCTTTTCAGCTCCCAAAACATCTTTTCTTTAGCTCCTACTGTATAATTTAGTTTTTAAAACTTCACCCAGTTCCCACCGAGCACGAGCTAGGCACTACTCCCCGGAGTTTTACATTCTTCGACTCATGCAGTCCCCCAGCAAGCCTCCGAGGTGAGTGTCATTACACCCATTTCACAGAGGTGGAAATGGAGACCCAGAGAGTTGACACAGTCAATGGCGAGGCCAGGATTTAACCTGGACTGACTCCATCGAGGACCCAGTTTCTTCCCGCTCTACCACCTTCAGAACTGTCAGCCACGTGCTCAGAGGAGTTCCCCTCGTGGTAAAAGACGTAGTTTCAGGGCTCGAACCCCCACACCAAGAAAGACACAACACTGTCTGGTAGAAAAGGGGAGCATCTCAGAGGTGTCTCATTGTGAGAACCCAAAAAACAACCTTTCCCGGAACCTGCTTCCTGACTTTTTCTCACAACTCATTGGCCAGGATGGTATCACATGCCCACAACTACACCGGTCACTGGCGAGGGAAATAGGACGGCCCCAGCTGACCAGGGAATAAGCATCTGGCCATGTGGCAGAGAGAAGGTTACCCACATCCAGTTGGAAAGGGGAAAGGTCTTGGGGGGCAACCGTCTCTATGCCTGGCTGGTATGTAGAAAATGCACAAAACAGAGTGGCTACTGGCTTTTGGGTTTGGACAGACCTGGTGTTGTAGCGCAAAGAGCACTCAGTTGAATGGATTCATGAACAAGCTTCACTCCTCCACTGAGGGCGGGAGGCCACAGGGTCTTGCCTTGAATCCTACTATTTTGTTGGCCTTGGGGGAGACTCTCTCCAGCTTGTGGGCTGCTCCAGGGACCACAGCTCCTACTTCTTCTCCCCTGGACCCTGTCTGGGTGTTCTGTGGGCTCACAAATACACAGACACTAACTGGAGATCCCAGCTAGACACGCCCTGCCCCCCCTTCCCCAGCCTCCACCCTCCCACCAGCCTTCTGGAAATACATATGTTCGCATTCCCAAGAAACACCCCCCAAAATCACCCTCTAAATCCTGTTCTCCTTGTTGCTTTCAGTCTGGGTAATTAAACTCAACACCTTCGGGGTGATTAAAAATTAATTTAACATTCAACGGGCCCGGAAATGAAATGCAGGGGAAACACACTTGGTGTGCCTGGCTAGAATTAATTAGGAAACCATCCTGCTGAGAAAGGATAACCAAGGCATTGTTGTGGCCACCAAGGTGTCAGGCTGCAAGGCGAGTGACCCCGACCGACCCCACCCCGTACAGGGTAACAAGCCTCTTCCTGGCCTCTAATTGTTTACTCTTCCTCAGCTGTTGCTGAGTTGGTTTACAGTAAGGGTTTTTAGTTTGTAGGCACCGCCTCTCCCAAGACAGTTTGAGTCTCCACTCCCCTGTTTTGCTCCTCCTTCTCTCCCACCCCCACCATGTCCCTCTTCTGACAACAGCTACCAACACTTCCCTCCACCTCGGCCACGCCATCTCCTGCCGGCCCATCCCAGTCCCTTCCACAAGCTGACAAAGTCCCAGCATCTCCTCACCTCCTGCCCCTAATGCCCCATCACGGCCCCACCTGATCCTCTCCTCGCCACTGTCCTCCAGGGGTGGTCCCTGCTGCAGGCCTGGTGCCCCTTCATCAAGCCTCACCTCCCAGGCCACGGCCCGAAATGCAGGAACTCCAGGATGCCACGGAAAGGCATTTCCTGTCCCTGTCTCGGAAGCCGCAAGGGGCCTTCGCACCTCCCAAACCTTCCGACTTTCCCATCTGGTACCTCTGGGCACTGTGGGCAGCAGGAAATATCTTGTCAACCCTGGAGGGTTAGAATCACTGTACTATTTTGAGTTTCACAGGAGCTTGCGGCAAAAACTGTGTTTTGTTCAAGACAATCACATCCCTGACTGTGAACCGTTTCACTGTGAAAAGCATGCAGGTTGTTCTGGGTCTTTCCTTGGCCTTCTGGAAAAAGCAGGCCAGTGTTGTCCAGTGCAGTAGCCACTAACCACTAGCCACATGTGGTCATTAAATTGAAATTAATTAAAATTGGATAAAGTGAAAACTAAAATTTCGTTCCTCAGCTGCACATGAGGCCAGTGGCTAGCATATTGGACAATACAGATATAACATTCCATCACAGAAAGTTCTGTGGGACAGGTGGCCTTTAATGGCACAGTCTGGGAAGATGGACAGACCCTCTGCCATTTACTCCACAATCCTGGACAATTCACTTAACTTCCCGAAGCCTCCCTCCATTTCTTCATCTATTATAGTAGCTATCTCAGAGAGTCCTGGGGTCCAATGAGACAATTCAGACACATTTGGCACAGTGTTTAATGATAGGAAGAGCTGATAAAAAGAAGCTATTGGCTATTGGAGGAGAGGGGGCAGCTTGGTGAAGCAGAAGGATTCAGGACAAAGGAGACTGAGTTCTAGTCCTAATTCTATCACTGCCTATAAGTCACATGTGAAGGCTGTGACTCATGCAGCCCGAATTAAAAAGAACAAATAGAAAAAAATCAAAATGAAGTGGAAAAATCCAGCACAGATTCTCCTTTGGAGCTCCTGGTCCAACATCCAGTTGCTGAGCAACTCCAGTGAGATGCATTACAGGGTCCTTAGAACCGAGAATTCCAAATAGGTTGAAGTATCTTCCACCCAAAACCCACCTGCTTTTCCTGCATTTCCTAGCTCAGGAGTAGCACCTGGTTTCCTTAAGGCTAGAAGCTATATGTGTTCTGTCTCCTTAATTTAGAATCCTATGGTGCACTCAGAGTTAGTATCACTATTTTATAGATGATCACATATCTCTCCAGGCAGTGGCAGGGTCGGGCTCCAGAGTCTGTGTTCTTAAGCAACACATGATGTTACCTTGATCCACCAACAAATGCTCTTGACTGTACCTTCAATCTGTCTACTTCTCTCCTGCCCCATGGTTAGGACCTTATCCTGGCCACCATGCCTCCTGCCTGGCTCAGAGCAATAGTCCCCTGGCTAGTCCCCAGCTGTCCTGGCTAGCTTTCTCCTCTTCCCTTCTCCCCATCCACAGTCCTCTGTAAAAGCTGAATATGGGGTGGCATTCTCTCCTGATGGGGATCTCTCATGATCTTGTTTACTGTTGTGCCACTGGAGTCTGGCGTGTAATACATTAACCCCAAATATTTGGTTGAATAAATGTATGAATCTTTGGAAACAATCCAATCCAAGAGACTGTTGGGAGTGCATATGTGATTGAAATGGTTTGTGAATTCCCGGCCTCTAAACAAGACACTGGGCAAAACCCCAGACAGGTGTGATAGGTGAATTATTGTAACTAACAAAGCATAGGCTAACAAATTACATGTTTCTTCTGAGAAAGAATGGGCCGGAGAAGATAGGGGAGAGGAACTGGTCTGCAGAGCATTCCGGAAAGGAATTCATAGAACAAAACAGTGTCAATCTACCTCCACGACTATATAAAGGAATGTGGACTGAGACCCTCCATGAAACAATGATGTATATTCACTAGACTGTTCCCTTGCCACCAATACAAGAGATTCTGGTCTAGGCTTTGGTCTCCAGAGTCTGGTTACTGTCAGCCAGGTCCAAGGTGGTAGTTAGCTTTGGAGGCCCTCAACAAAACTAGTTTCTGTTTCTGGGAAACTGAGGAGGAGACACTGATACATGGGATAAGGTCAAGTTCATTCCCCACTCATTCTACCTTCTGAGGCAGCCTCTGGGAGTCTTCACGAGCCCATGAGCCCTGGAACAGGTCATTTTATTACTCTGGGCCTCGGTTTCCTCCTCATAAAATTGGGGTTGAACTAGATGACTTCTAAAGGTCACTTCACCTCAGTGTTGGGACTGGGGGAAAGATATTTCAAGTGTGGAAATCTGGAGGATACCAGTAAGTGTGCAAGCTTAGCAACGCCAATAATCGGACCAACTGGCAGCATGAGCCTCCTGATATGATGCAATGAGAATATCACCTATGCAGTGTTCTTGCACCCAAAATGTTTATCTAGGCATCAGGAGACAATCAGATCCAAATTATATGGTATTCCATGGAAACAACTGGCAGTAACCCCTTAAAGAGGCCACTGTCAAGAAAGAAAGAAAAGGCAGAAGATAACCAGTCACCTGATATATAGTAAGATGTTGGATTAAAAAGGACATTATTGAAACCCTTGGAGAAAGTTTAGTATGGAACATATATTTGATACTATGATTGCATCAAATTTATTGAATATGATAGTAGGTTGCAGAGAATGTCCTTGTTCTTCTGAGATAATAGCTGGTGTATTTCAGAGGTAAATTGTCTTCATGCTTACAGTTTACCTCCTGAAAGAGAGAGAAAAGCAAATGTGGCCAAATGTTAATGACTCATGAATCACTAAGAAGCAAGCTGAGCGAACAGTTATTGAGTTTTTACCACCTGCTAGACACTGTCGAGATCTTTAGGTGAACAATCTCACTTTAGTCTTCACATCAATCTTATGCGGCGGGACTATTAATACAGAAGAGGATCCTTGGGCACAGGGTGGTCAAGTGACTTGCTCAAGGTCACACAGCGAGGAAGCAGCTGAGTCAGGATCTGAGACCAGGCTACTGTGGCTCCAGGCTGTTCTCTTTGAAAGAGTAAGTCCTTCAAAACATGGATTCCCTGGGGCAAAAATAATAAAGACAATTTGGGGGGAAGAAAAAAGTTGCCAGGGATGAGGGACAGAAAGGGGTGGAGAAACGAAGCACAAAGGATGTTTAGGGCAATGAAAATACCTTACGTGGCACTACAATGGTGAATATGTCATAATACATTTGCCGAAGCTCAAAGAATGGGCAAAACCAAGGATGAACCCTAATGTAAACCACGGACTTTGGGTGATTATGATGTGTCTACACAGGTGTAGCAATTGTAACAACTATACCGCCCTGGAGAGGGTTGTCGACAGGGGAGGAGGCTGTGTGTATAGGGCCCAGAAGTATATGGGAATGCCCTGTATTTTCTGCTCAATTTTGCTATGACCCTAAAACCGCTCTAAAAAAAATTAAGTTTATTTTAAAAACGCCACTACATTTCTCAGGCCTCCTAGATTCCAGATATCATTCCAGTTCCACCACCTGACTCCGGTCTAGCTGACAGACCCTGGCAGTGGAGGA